GTAAAGATATGGATGGTTGAAAAGTAGACAAACAATTGAGATATTTTTTATTGTGTTGTTGTTTTTCTCTCCATTTCCAGCCTGTCATTGTTGATGATGTAATATTGTCGTGTGGGGTCTGGTCCATATCTTGATGACAAATGTCCATTCGATTAGATTGTTGATGTTGCTATACGAACAGTTGGATCAATATCTCGATGACAAAGGTCCACTCGATTAGCGGCGCTAATCATTTATCAGATGACAAGTTTGGCCTGGAAATGTCTACTTAAAGTTGGCACCATTGGCTTAGGGCTGGCATGTTAGGTTTGGACTTGGCTCGTTGAGTTGAGGACATTTGTTGGCATAGACCATCCCTTTTTGAAATATAAGTACGAGAACAATACACAATTTGACTGGAAAGTGTTTGGTTGGGGAAACACCCGATAGTTTTTGGGAACCAATCACTCAACTCATGACAGGCATTCTATCGAATTTGGTAGTCAGTCGGCCATTTCAGGCGTTCTATCGAATTTGCTAGTCAGTCGGCCATTTCAGGCATTCTATCGAATTTAGTAGTCAGTCGGCCATTTCAGGCGTTCTATCGAATTTGGTAGTCAGTGGGCCATTACAGGCATTCTATCGAATTTGGTAGTCAGTCGGCCATTTCAGGCATTCTATCGAATTTTGTAGTCAGTCGGCCATTTCAGGCATTCTATCGAATTTGGTAGTCAGTCGGCCATTTCAGGCATTCTATCGAATTTGGTAGTCAGTCGGCCATTACAGGCATTCTATCGAATTTGGTAGTCCGTCGGCCATTTCAGGCATTCTATCGAATTTGGTAGTCAGTCGGCCATTACAGGCATTCTATCGAATTTGGTAGTCAGTCGGCCATTTCAGGCATTCTATCGAATTTGGTAGTCAGTCGGCCATTTCAGGCATTCTATCGAATTTGGTAGTCAGTCGGCCATTTCAGGCATTCTATCGAATTTGGTAGTCAGTCGGCCATTTCAGGCATTCTATCGAATTTGGTAGTCAGTCGGTCATTTCAGGCATTCTATCGAAGTTGGTAGTCAGTCGGCCATTTCAGGCATTCTATCGAAGTTGGTAGTCAGTCGGTCATTTCAGGCATTCTATCGAATTTGGTAGTCAGTCGGCCATTACAGGCATTCTATCGAATTTGGTAGTCAGTCGGCCATTTCATGCATTCTATCGAATTTGGTAGTCAGTCGGCCATTTCATGCATTCTATCGAATTTGGTAGTCAGTCGGCCATTTTAGGCATTCTATCGAATTTGGTAGTCAGTCGGCCATTTCAGGCATTCTATCGAATTTAGTAGTCAGTCGGCCATTACAGGCATTCTATCGAATTTGGTAGTCAGTCGGCCATTTCAGGCATTCTATCGAATTTGGTAGTCAGTCGGCCATTTCAGGCATTCTATCGAATTTGGTAGTCAGTCGGCCATTTCAGGCATTCTATCGAAGTTGGTAGTCAGTCGACCATTTCAGGCATTCTATCGAAGTTGGTAGTCAGTCGGCCATTTCAGGCATTCTATCGAATTTGGTAGTCAGTCGGCCATTTCAGGCATTCTATCGAAGTTGGTAGTCAGTCGACCATTTCAGGCATTCTATCGAAGTTGGTAGTCAGTCGGCCATTTCAGGCATTCTATCGAATTTGGTAGTCAGTCGGCCATTTCAGGCATTCTATCGAAGTTGGTAGTCAGTCGACCATTTCAGGCATTCTATCGAAGTTGGTAGTCAGTCGGCCATTTCAGGCGTTCTATCGAATTTGCTAGTCAGTCGACCATTTCAGGCGTTCTATCGAAGTTGGTAGTCAGTCGACCATTTCAGGCATTCTATCGAATTTGGTAGTCAGTCGGCCATTTCAGGCATTCTATCGAATTTGGTAGTCAGTCGGCCATTTCAGGCATTCTATCGAAGTTGGTAGTCAGTCGACCATTTCAGGCATTCTATCGAAGTTGGTAGTCAGTCGGCCATTTCAGGCATTCTATCGAATTTGGTAGTCAGTCGGCCATTTCAGGCATTCTATCGAAGTTGGTAGTCAGTCGACCATTTCAGGCATTCTATCGAAGTTGGTAGTCAGTCGGCCATTTCAGGCGTTCTATCGAATTTGCTAGTCAGTCGACCATTTCAGGCGTTCTATCGAAGTTGGTAGTCAGTCGACCATTTCAGGCATTCTATCGAAGTTGGTAGTCAGTCGGCCATTTCAGGCGTTCTATCGAATTTGCTAGTCAGTCGACCATTTCAGGCGTTCTATCGAAGTTGGTAGTCAGTCGACCATTTCAGGCATTCTATTCAATGCCGGGTTTTACACTGAGCCAGGGACAAAATCAGCGTAACTAGGGGGAAACAGATAGTGGGGGCGGGGGGAGGAGGAAATAATTAATGTGATGGTAAATAGATGTAACTAGAATACCCGTCATCCGTTGGATAACTGTGGGTTTCGGGGGTCATCAATCAAAAAACATCACGTCTGTCACTCAGAGGCAGAGCGACCCTTCCCGGCGCCCGGGGACAAAGTTTTCGATTTGAACCCCCCCCCCCCCCCCCCCCGCAAGATTTCGATTTGAAACCCCCCCCCCCCCTCAAACTTTTGATGTGCACCCCCCCCCCCCCACAAACTTTCGATTTGAACCCCCTCAACCTTTCAATTTATTTTTCCAAACCATTTTGGCGCCCCAACATATGTCCCCCCCCGCCCCCCCCTTCCCCCATCCACCTCTCCTTCCCCCCCCCCGCCTCCCCTCCCCCCCCCTCCCCTACCGTCCCCCCCCCCTCCTCGCTACGCTACTGCAGTGTCACTTATCGTCACAAAAAACAGACCCCACATTCAAAAATATGTTTTTTATCTTTTAAAAACACCGAAAACACCGATTTCGGACTATCCCTTCATATACTGACGTCACATGTGACCTACTCAACTCTACTTCACCTGCCCAGTGTCCCGCCAAGTCTCAGACAACATGTATTTATCGTTTAAAAAACGATTCCAGCCGAGCACGTCTCTGACCACACTATCCTTTCATATGCTTAGGACAAAGAAACAGATGAACTCTACTTCACCTGCCCTGTATCTTGCCAAGTTCAGATAGGCAACTTTATCATTCACATCTAAAAAAAAAAAAATTGAAAAAAAAAATTTCATCGACATATTGGTCTAGAACCCGTGCCACTTGCATGAGAGACGGCTTCTCTACCAACATAGCTATTTACTCGTGACGTCACATGTGAATTTTTATACTATACTTATGCAACTTTATTTACGCGCATAGATCTAGATCTAAGTCTAGTAGTATTAACTTTCAAATTAAATTTTATCTTAAATTAGCCAAACAAAGATTTATATAAAATAAAGAAGGTTTGAAATTATCTAGATCTAGATAGAATTATCTAGATTCTACGACTCGTTTTCTTAAGTCTTAAGTTAAGTTTTTCTTGCTAGATCTAGATCTAATCATTAGCTACGCTAATAGGCCCGGAGCGAGCATTTCAAAATTACCATATTCCAAACAAACATTTATATAAAATAATAAAGGTCTAAAATAGTTTAGTATATAGAAACTCATTATTATCTAAATCTAGATAGAATTATCTATATTTTAGATATACGACTGAGCTATATCTAGAGTTTACGTCTATAATTTTGCACACTTAGCGGTATAGAAGCCGCGTATGAATCTTAAGCTACGCAAATAGATCTAGGCCCTGACTCCAGCATTTCAAAATTTGCATAGGGGCCTAGTCAAAACAAAGATTTATACCAAGCAAATAAGGTCTAAAATATTTTAGTATATAGAAACTCATTATTATCTAAATCTAGATAGAATTATCTATATTCTAGATCTACGACTGGTTTGCTTAAGTCTTAAGTTTAGTTTTTCTTGCTAGATCTAGAATCTAGATCTAATCATTAGCTACGCTCATAGGCCCGGAGCGAGCATTTCAAAATTACCATATTCCAAACAAAGATTTATATAAAATAATAAAGGTTTAAAATAGTTTAGTATATAGAAACTCATTATTATCTATTTATTATCTAGATCTAAATCTAGATAGAATTATCTATATTCTAGATCTACGACTGGTTTGCTTAAGTCTCGTTTTTTTTTTGGATTGTATTTATTTATAACTATTAAATCTTTGATTTGACCTAGATCTAGATTCTAGATCAATAAATAACTTTCTTGGACAGATTTTAGATTTTTTTTTATCGTAAAACTAAATGAAAAAGACAGTTGAAAATTGATATAAGTGTTGGAACGTAATAAATACAGCAAACGGACGTATTGTTAAAGTTATGACCCACAGAAAATTAGATTTAGAACGCGTTAAACTTGTGAATGGGAACACAATTTTCTTCGATAGACGCCGCCATTTTATTGTACTAAAGAGTAAACAAAAACCTGTGACGTCACGGTCCCGCCGAGTGTAGTGGTCGTTTTAATCTTTTTAAAAAAATGGGTTACTCTGCGTATGAATAAATCAATAAATTAATTAACGTCTTTAAATAAATTTGTGATTAACAGTCTGTCTTAAAACAAAATTTTTTCTCTACCTACATACTATTTTACAGCTTTCCACGATGAGTGCAACCATGAGCAATAGTCAATCAGGCAAACAAACAAATAAATATTCAAACATGTAAACAAACTTGACTTTTAGTAGTATATAGATGACCGAGGGGGTGGGGAATAGATCAGGGGGTTAATGACCTAGAGCTGTACACTGGTGTTAATGCTTGTCTGACTGCAGTGGTGATGTCGTGTTTGGTGACTAAAATTGTATGAGCTGACTGTTACGTGACTGTTATCACGTGGTTTTAGTGTCGTGTTTGGTGACTAAAATTGTCAGAGCTACCCGGTTATCACGTGATTTTAATGTCGTGTTTGGTGACTAAAGTTGTATGAACTGACCGTTACGTGACTGTTATCACGTGGTTTTGATGTCGTGTTTGTCAGATCTATGCGGTTATCACGTGGTTTTGATATTTTATTCTGTCAGAAAAAAAGCCGTGACGAAAGCCATGGGACAGAGAGTGGGGTGGAGATCATCGAGAACAAGCCGTACACCAACGGCCCGGGGGGTGACGGGCAGTACACCTACAAGATCTACCACATTGGGAGCCATTTGCCAGGTAAAGTGGTTCTGTTTGTGTTGGTGGGGGTGGGTTGTGATTGTGTGGGGCGGGTCGTATGTGGACTGCTTGTGTGAGTGGTGGTGCGTGAGGATTGGGGGTGTGGTGGTATGTCAATGGGAATGCTGGGCGAGGTGTTTGTATGTGGGTGGCAGGATGGCTGTTATGAAAGTACATCTATGGGTGGCAGTTTGCCAGGTAATACATTTCTAGATTACAGAGAGGGGGTGGAAGCGCTAAGGGTCGATACTACGATAGATTACCTACCCTGTTGCCATCCATGATTTAGAAATGGCACGGTAGACCCCAACCTAAATGAGCGTGTTTATCAACCGCAATCAATAACTAACGAAATAATAGTTGAGTATCGCAGCTAACGATCTCGTGGTCAAGTATTAAACCTAACCTGTTATACATTGGGGTAAAGTGTTAAACCTAACTAATTTCACACTTGCCCTGTGTTAAACCTAACCTGTGTTAAACCTAACCCCTGTTAAACGCCCTGTGTTAAACCTAACCTGTGTTAAACGCCGTGTGTTTAACCCCGCAGGCTGGTTCCGGGCGATCCTCCCAAAGTCTGCCCTGAGGGTGGAGGAGGAGGCCTGGAACGCCTACCCCTACACCAAGACCAGGTACAAGTGCCCCTTCATCGAGAAGTTTCTACTGGAGGTGGAGACCAAGTACCACGACGACCCGGGGGACGACGACGGTGTCTTCACCCTGTCTAAAAGTGACATGGCCCAGCGGACCGTCGGTAAGTAGGTCAGTGATATGGCCCAGCGGACCGTCGGTAAGTAGGTCAGTGACATGGCCCGTCGGTAAGTAGGTCAGTGACATGGCCCGTCGGTAAGTAGGTCAGTGACATGGCCCGTCGGTAAGTAGGTCAATGACATGGCCCAGAGGACCGTCGGTAAGTAGGTCAGTGACATGGCCCGTCGGTAAGTAGGTCAGTGACATGGCCCGTCGGTAAGTAGGTCAGTGACATGGCCCAGAGGACCGTCGGTAAGTAGGTCAGTGACATGGCCCGTCGGTAAGTAGGTCAGTGATATGGCCCAGCGGACCGTCGGTAAGTAGGTCAGTGACATGGCCCGTCGGTAAGTAGGTCAGTGACATGACCCGTCGGTAAGTAGGTCAGTGACATGGCCCGTCGGTAAGTAGGTCAGTGACATGGTCCGTCGGTAAGTAGGTAGGTGACATGGCCCGTCAGTAAGTAGGTCAGTGACATGGGCCGTCGGTAAGTAGGTCAGTAACATGGTCCGTCGGTAAGTAGGTCAGTGACACGGCCCGTCGGTAAGTAGGTCAGTGACATGGTCCGTCGGTAAGTAGGTCGGTGACACGGGCCGTCGGTAAGTAGGTCAGTAACATGGCCCGTCGGTAAGTAGGTCAGCGACACGGTCCGTCGGTAAGTAGGTCAGTGACATGGCCCGTCGGTAAGTAGGTCAATGACATGGCCAGTCTGTCAGTAGGTCAGTGACATGGCCCGCCGGTAAGTAGGTCAGTGACATGGCCCGTCGGTAAGTAGGTCAGTGACGTGGCCAGTCGGTAAGTAGGTCAGTGACATGGCCAGTCGGTAAGTAGGTCAGTGACATGGCCAGTCGGTAAGTAGGTCAGTGACATGGCCCGTCGGTAAGTAGGTCAGTGACATGGCCCGTCGGTAAGTAGGTCAGTGACATGGCCCGTCGGTAAGTAGGTCAGTGACATGGTCCAGCGGACCGTCGGTAAGTAGGTCAGTGACATGGCCCGTCGGTAAGTAGGTCAGAGTGACACCGTTAGTATGTCAATTGGTAATTAGGTCAAAGTGTGACAAGGTCCAACGTAACGTCGATAAGTAGGTCTGTGGTAAGGCCAACAACCATGAATTAGGTCAATCTCATAGTCTAAAGGCCAATAGGTTAGTGTTGTGACTCATCAAACAGGCAGTAAGTAGGTCGGAGTAGATGACCAATGGGTCAGTCGGTTAGTGGGTCAGTCTTAAACAAAGCGTACCGTCCGAAAGTAGGTCAGTCTTTAGCATCTGTGCTTCCATAGTGACTCACCAGTAATTTTCCCTGTCCAGTGGCAAACAAAGGTTTTAAAATAAAGAGATACGTCATCAACTAGTGCTGTGTGTATGCTGACAGGTACTCACCGTCAGTTGTTAATTCAATATTTTAATTTAGAGATAGTACTAATTCGATTGTGATCCTAATCTGATAGCCTGATAACTAAAATATAGGAAGATTACTTTTTACACCCCCCCCCCTCCCCAGATTACATCGATATCGTGAAGGACAGCGTGACAGGCGGGGACTACAAGAAAGAAGAAGACCCCAAACTTTACAAGTCGGTGAAGACCGGACGCGGCCCGCTGTCTGACGACTGGAGACAGGAGTTCGGGCAAGCTTTGCGGGAGGGGCGGAAGAACGGGAAGGAGATGATGACGGCCTACAAGCTGTGTAGGGTGGAGTTCAAGTACTGGGGCATGCAGAACAAGATCGAGAGGTTCATACACGATGTGGGTGAGTGCTTCATCTGGTGTGGGGGTGAGTGTGGGGGTGGAGCAAGTACTGGGGCATGCAGAACAAGATCGAGAGGTTCATACACGATGTGGGTGAGTGCTTCATCTGGTGTGGGGGTGGAGTGTGGGGGTGGAGTTCAAGTACTGGGGCATGCAGAACAAGATCGAGAGGTTCATACACGATGTGGGTGAGTGCTTCATCTGGTGTGGGGGTGGAGTGTGGGGGTGGAGTTCAAGTACTGGGGCATGCAGAACAAGATCGAGAGGTTCATACACGATGTGGGTGAGTGCTTCATCTGGTGTGGGGGTGGAGTGTGGGGGTGGAGTTCAAGTACTGGGGCATGCAGAACAAGATCGAGAGGTTCATACACGATGTGGGTGAGTGCTTCATCTGGTGTGGGGGTGGAGTGTGGGGGTGGAGTTCAAGTACTGGGGCATGCAGAACAAGATCGAGAGGTTCATACACGATGTGGGTGAGTGCTTCATCTGGTGTGGGGGTGGAGTGTGGGCAGTATGTGGCAGTCGGGAAAGGATTGTAGCATCTTCTATAGTTGGGGATTGTTGGTCTGATTGAGGATTCAAATAAAAAAAATGGAAATGTGCTTGCTCATTAAATCACGAGCTAATTAAATCAAGAATTCATTAAATCAACAGATGATCAAATCAAAAGCTCATTAAATCACGAGCTCATTAAATCAGAGGCACAAATGTAGCTGAAAATTTATCAACCCCAACCAAGTTATTAATTAACTTAATTAGTGCGCCTATAATAAGTTTAAATCAGTTTGATTGCTAGAGATTTTTAAGCCAGTACTTGAGGCCGGTGTGAAGACAGGTGGTGGTACAAACCTCACCTGTAAAGGTAGTTGTTGAGAGATCTCCTGGAAACTTTTCTAACAATACAGTTAGAGAGAGGCCAGCCCTCTAATGTCCTACTTGTGTTGTCCTTTAGCCTATTAATGTCCTGTTTGCCATATTCCCCAGCCCTCTAATGTCCTACCTGTCCACCAGCCCACTACTGTCCTACCTGTCCCCCAGCCCACTAATGTCCTACATGTCCCCCAGCCCTGTCCTGTCCCCCAGCCCCCTAATGTCCTACCCCCCAGCCCTGTCCTATCCCCCAGCCCCCTAATGTCCCACATGTCCTATCCCCAGCCCACTAATGTCCTACCTGTCCCCAGCCCCCTAATGTCCCACATGTCCTATCCCCAGCTCCCTAATGTCCTACATGTCCTACCCCCCTCTGCCCACTACTGTCCCACCTGTCCCCCAGCCCCCTAATGTCCCACATGTCCTATCCCCAGCCCCCTAATGTCCTACCCCCAGCCCACTAATGTCCTACATGTCCTACCCCCCAGCCCCCTAATGTCCTACATGTCCTACCCCAGCCCCCTAATGTCCTACATGTCCTACCCCCAGCCCACTAATGTCCTACCTGTCCTACCCCCCAGCCCCCTAATGTCCCACCTGTCCCCCAGCCCCCTAATGTCCCACCTGTCCCCCAGCCCCCTAATGTCCTACCTGCCCCCAGCCCACTACTGTCCCACCTGTCCCCCAGTCCCCTAATGTCCTACATGTCCTACCCCCAGCCCACTAATGTCCTACCTGTCCTACCCCCCAGTCCCCTAATGTCCCACCTGTCCCCAGTCCCCTAATGTCCCACCTGTCCCCAGCCCCCTAATGTCCTACCTGTCCCCCCAGCCCCCTATGTCCTACATGTCCTACCCCCAGCCCCAAATGTCCTACATGTCCCCCAGTCCCCTAATGTCCTACCCCCAACCCCCTAATGTCCTACATGTCCTACCCCCAGCCCCCTACATGTCCTAACCCCAGCCCACTACTGTCCCACCTGTCCCCCAGCCCACTATGTCCTACTTGTCCTACCCCAGTCCCCTAATGTCGTACCTGTCCCCCATCCCCCTAATGTCCTACATGTCCTACCCCCCAGCCCACTAATGTCCTACCTGTCCCCCATCCCACTAATGCCCTACCTGTCCCCCATCCCCCTAATGTCCTACATGTCCTACCCCCCAGCCCACTAATGTCCTACCTGTCCTACCCCCAGCCCTGAGGAAGACGATGCTGAGGGCCCACAGACAGGCCTGGTGCTGGCAAGACGAGTACTACGGCCTGACGCTGGACGACATCCGGGCTCTGGAGCGGGAGACACAGCTAGCCCTGGCTGAGAAGATGGCCGCAGCCTCGGCCGCCGCCAACCTGATGGACGGCTCCCTCGCCCCCACCCCCACCAACGAGGGCGGCGCCGAGGGCCGGCGGACCAGCACCGCCAGCAGCTCATCGGACCGCCACCACATCCACGCCCACCACACCCACCGGCATCCGGACAAGCAGAAGTCGTCGGTGCATTTT